TACTGTTTTAAATGTGTCATATCTAAACATGACTTCCTATAACATCCTGGGCTATATTCAGAAATTTGAGAAAGCTCCACCCACATTATTATAGCATTATTATAATAGTAGTATAGTGTAGATTACTATAGGTAACTTGCCCTTGGTTATTTTTCTAACAGTAATCCTAATGAAATGCTTACAAGACAAAATTATTGTTTATTAATAGTAAAACTGACTCATTTATAGTTCTTTATTATAGTCATTTCAATTTTATTTATACATCTCCTAAACTCTCACCTAAAGATGCTTTACACTGCAAGGCAGAGACCATAAAAAGAGAAAAGAGAACACCTCAGCTGTCTATGAGCGTGAAGGAAAACCTGTCATGGTTCTGGGTCCCTTTGACCCAGCATTTTGAGTTTCTTTTGTTTTAGTGATATTTTGTATTATGTTTTAGGTTCAATAGTAGTCTTAGTCTGTTTTATATTTTCTCATATTCCCTGTTTAGTTCCTTGATTATTAGATTCCCCCTTGTGTCTTTGTCCACTGTGTGTCTGGTTTCCCTCCTTGTGTTTTATTCTATGTTCCCCCCGCCTATAATGTTTATCCGTGTTTCTCCAGCTCGTCATATCGCTCTCGTGTTCCCTCGCTACCTCTTGTCTGCCTTTCCTCCACACCTCTGTCAAGCTCATGTTTCCTGCTTTATTGTAAAAGACGTGTGTTCCATGTTCAGTGTGTTTAGTTTTTGCTTTCCTGGTCTCGTTGTGTCTAATTCGTCTCAGCTGAGTTTCCCATGTGTTTTCTGTTCCCTCGTCATTCCCTGTGTATTTAAGCCTTCCCTCTGTTCAGTGTCATGTTCTTCCTCATTCCCTGCCGTGTGCGCTGCCTACCTGCCTCTTTAGTCTCATGCATATTCTAAGTTTAGTTAGTTTTGCATTTTCTGCTGTGTTTTTGAGTTCAGTTTTGCCTCTGTGAGTCTACGTTTGGGTCCTATCTTGCCTGCTTTACACGGCCAGTCCATGACAAAACCTTCATTTTAACAGGAAGAAACCCCCAGCACAACCAGACTCAGGGAGGGGGGCATCTACCATGACCGGTTGGGGATGAGAGGAGGAAGACAGAGCAAAAGACACACATTGGGAAAGAGCCAGAGTTTAAAATTAATTACTAAAAATTAAATGGACTAAATGCAACTTGGTGTATAAATACAGGAGATGACTGAAGCAGAAACGGTCAGTGCATCATGGGAAACCCACCCATGTGCCATACCCATCCATAAATAAAATGTAAGTGTGCCTATATCATCTCCCTGCAGGATTTCTGTGTGTCCATGTTTCACAACAGCGATGCTGAAATGATGAAGGGCAACAGTACCTTTCCATCATTACCAAGAGCCTCGTCCTTTTTACTCTTCTCCGGGTCTGATGATGAGACGCACTCAATGCTCTCCTCTGTAGTGGCTTCAAGGTCTGTCTCCTCTGACAATGCAAACCTCTTCTTTGCTGCAGAGACCAGATGCACAGGATGGATTGTCATGCTTTATAAAAAAATGAATAAATTGTGCTTTAAAGTTCGCAACATATCTAGAGGCAGTGACAGCAACAGTGTCGGCTGGCAGCAGCCCACACAAAAAAGGGCTTTGATCAGTGGGCTCGCACA